TACGACCCTTAAATTAAGTGTAGGACGACACGATACACACTCTCATAGACAGGCTCACAAACGACATTTAGACTTTCTGACTCAGCTATTCATATTAGCAGAGGCGTAGCGGGGGGATGGGGGGGGGGGCGGTTGTTTGGACCGCACCGGGTGACACCATTTAGACAAAAAAAATTAAAGTATATAGAGAAAAATGATAATTCCACTTAATTAAGTGATTAATTCGAGTGTTTAATAGTCTTTTTAGAGGTTCAAATCGAAAGTTGGAGGGGAGGGGGTGCAAATCGAAAGTTTGAGGGGGGGGGGGGTGCAAATCGAAAGTTTGAAGGGGGGTGCAAATCAAAAGTTTGAGGGGGGGTGTAAATCGTACATTGAAAGTTTGTCCCCGGAACGGGTCGCTACGCCTCTGGGGATAGAGAACATTAAGTACCGCACCGGGTGACACCCGACCTCACTACGCCACTTCATATTAGGATATCTGTAACTTTTTTTATGAAATACGCCTTGTCATTTATTTTACAATCAAATTAGAAATTAAATTAATACTTGGCAAACCAACGAGATTAATTTCAAATGGACCAAGAATGGTAGGTAAACCATTTGATGTAAGGGAGGTAAGCAGTAACAAATTAAACCGTGTAGTGTCAATACGTGAGTTAACCACCTTGACAAAATGAATTGTATGGACACATTTTGACAAGACAAATAAGTTATTTGTTGTTTTGTGTTGGGGCGGGAATGAGACTTGCTGCATTGTTGGTTCATAATACTTGCGTAACACATTTCATAGGGGTAGCAGGCCGACGAAAAACAATATGGCTTTAAACAGTATTCTTCATTCACTCCCTATGTTTTTAATTGAATATAAACTTTTAAAAGTACGATAGTTATATTCAAACAACGCTAACGTCTCTCATTAAAAAACTGGGTTTATTCCTTTACACACACACACAATATCCATATAAAATCCACATGCATTATATCACTATTGTTTACTATCTAATATTCTACTTATATTAACCTTCACTTGAGATACTCAGACCACTAATTATCTCTCGACTTAACCTCCTCTCTGCAACTATCTCTCGACTCAAGCTCCTCTCTGCCACTATGCACGTTAAGCTCATTTCCCAGCTGACTGCTCATACTAACTAAATAACCAAAGCCACGTGACTCTGATCTTAAGCCTGATTGGTTACCACAGGTATTCTCGCCCCTCGCGGAGTCCAGCTTAACCCCTCGTTTTGTCGCTCTCCAGGTTAGCTATAATCTACGTAAAATTGCGTCACCATACAAAAATGTTTGAAAATATATCCAGATATAATTTAGTTACAATTTCTGGATTTAAAAAAACTATAGGTGTTACGCAAAAAATCTCCCATAAATTTCTGTTTCGCTTAACATTATTCTACTATTCACAAAGTAGGTTCGTCTCTCAATAAAATGGCGATCAAATAAATCAATAATTTAGTCTACAGACATGTGCTTATATTGAATTCCCTGTGTCTATTTATAACGCGCTTTCCTCTGTGACGTCAACATTCCGACAGCCAAGGTGTTGCACTAAGTAAACATTTGTCCTTCTATCGTTTGGTGAATGTGTGTGTGTGTGTGTGTGTGTCAGTGCAAGCCTTATGTGTCTGCTGTGTATGTGTATCTACGTGCGTGTGTGTGTATGTGTATGCATTCATTGAAAGTTGTTCACGACGCCGTGGTATCCTGACAACATAACAACATCGGCCCACCTGTTACGTCACAACCACCTGTTTTTCCCACAGCAGCGGCTCCGCGTCACAGCTCAGTGGCTGACTCCAAATATTCTCATGAGTCACAGATAAGAACTGAGTGACTCCAAATACTCTCACGAGTCACAACTAAGAACTGAGTGACTCCAAATACTCTCATGATTCACAGCTCAGAACTGAGTGACTCCAAACTCTAATGAGTCACAGCACAGTACTGGCTGACTCCGAATACTCCCATGAGTCACTGTTTAGTACTAATAGAAACTTGAAAAATGTGAAACCAGGTTTAGTATCAACTTGTTAAATTAACTCAAACATGGAACTGGGGCTAATGGGAATTTCTAAAATTGACTCATAAATATGGAATCACATGAGGAAGGGGGGGGGGGGGCAACCATGACGTAAACTTGCTAACAATAGAGAAAACAATGCTACATCCAGTATTTATAACTGACTATAGATAGTTAATCTTGACCATGCACAATTTAAAGCTATTTTCGGGGGGGGGGGGCGCTTTGACATCAACTGCAGAGGCGTAGCGACCCTTCCCGGCGCCCGGGGACAAACTGTTCGATTTGCAACCCCCCCCCCCTCGAGATTTCAATTTGCACCCCCCTCAAACTTTCGATTTGCATTCCCCCTTTCGATTTGCACCCCCCCCCCCCTCGAGGTTTCGATTTGCACCCCCCACCCCTGAAACTTTCGATTCGCACCCCCCCTCAACCTTTCAATTTATTTTTCCAACCCATTTTGGCGCCCCGTAAGGTCGGCGCCCGGGGACATATGCCCCCCTCCCTCCCCCCCCCCCTCGCTACGCTACTGATCAACTGCAAACTTTAAGGAGGAAAGAAATGTTTTGTTGAATTTTTTTGTGTAACTGGTAAGTCAATCAACGACTGGGTTGGGGGTGACACCAAATCTCATAATTTACTATGAAAACGATTCTGAAAACAGCAGCATGAGTGCCGCACCGGGTGACACCCCACCTAGCTACGCCACTGCCACACACCACCTAGCTACGCCACTGCCACACACCACCTAGCTACGCCACTGCCACACCCCACCTAGCTACGCCACTGCCACACACCACCTAGCTACGCCACTGCCACACACCACCTAGCTACGCCACTGCCACACACCACCTAGCTACGCCACTGCCACACACCACCTAGCTACGCCACTGCCACACCCCACCTAGCTACGCCACTGCCACACACCACCTAGCTACGCCACTGCCACACACCACATAACGGAATAAAACCAGAACTGGAAGTAGATTTTATATTAATAATAAATATTTATAAGCAGTGCAGCAACTTTTTCAGCTAGTGACAAACGTCGACCCCAAGCTAAGGACGATATGACAAGAGTGTCATTCACCCCCCCCCCCCCAATTAACCAGTTTAAGGACTCGCCCCACCCTTCAATAACTTCAACTTTCTCTATTTAAAAAAAAATAGTTCAATATAAAAACAAAAATCAATATATTTATATCGCTCGATAAACCTTTTAACATTCATGTTTTATTCAATAGGTTCAATCTATTAAAAACCACTTTTGAAAAAAATATTGCGTAGTCTCCCTTTATGGATTAATGTGCGAGCCGACCCGAGTTTTTACTGGTGAATCTAAAGAGTAGACGGTGGCTAAACTCTCGATGGCAAGTCTGGAGAGCTCTTGTGTGATTTTAGTGTCAAAGCAGGGGATCTAGTATTGGTGTTTGTAGTGTAGGCAGTGGATCTAGTATTGGTGCTTGTAGTGTAGGCAGTGGATCTAGTATTGGTATTTGTAGTGTAGGCAGTGGATCTAGTATTGGTGTTTGTAGTGTAGGCAGGGGATCTAGTATTGGTGTTTGTAGTTTATGCAGGGGATAAAGTATTGGTGTTTGTAGTGTAGGCAGGGGATCTAGTATTGGTGCTTGTAGTGTTGGAAGTGGATCTAGTATTGGTGTTTGTAGTGTAGGCAGGGGATCTAGTATTGGTGCTTGTAGTGTAGGCAGTGGATCTAGTATTGGTGTTTGTAGTTTATGCAGGGGATATAGTATTGGTGTTTGTAGTTTATGCAGGGGATCTAGTATTGGTGTTTGTAGTTTATGCTGGGGATCTAGTATTGGTGTTTGTAGTTTATGCTGGGGATCTAGTATTGGTGTTTGTAGTTTATGCTGGGGATCTAGTATTGGTGTTTGTAGTTTATGCTGGGGATCTAGTATTGGTGTTTGTAGTTTATAGAGGGGATCTAGTATTGGTGTTTGTAGTTTATGCAGGGGATCTAGTATTGGTGCTTGTAATTTATGCAGGGGATCTAGTATTGGTGCTTGTAGTGTAGGCAGTGGATCTTGTATTGGTGCTTGTAGTGTAGGCAGTGGATCTAGTATTGGTGCTTGTAGTTTATGCAGGGGATCTAGTATTGGTGCTTGTAGTGTAAACAGGGATTCTTGGTCTGGTATAGGCAGGGATTCCTGACTAGTGTAGGCAGTGGATCTAGGTCTAGGGTAGGCAAGAGACTCCTGGACTATAGGCAGGCGTTCCCGGACTGGCGTAGGCAAGGGTTCGGGGACTGGTGTAGGCAAGGGTTCGGGGACTGGTGTAGGCAAGGGTTCGGGGACTGGTGTAGGCAAGGGTTCGGGGACTGGTGTAGGCAAGGGTTCGGGGACTGGTGTAGGCAAGGGTTCGGGGACTGGTGTAGGCAAGGGTTCGGGGACTGGTGTAGGCAAGGGTTCGGGGACTGGTGTAGGCAAGGGTTCGGGGACTGGTGTAGGCAAGGGTTCGGGGACTGGTGTAGGCAAGGGTTCGGGGACTGGTGTAAGCAAGGGTTCGTGGACTGATGTAGGCAAGGGTTCTAGGTCTGGTATAGGCAGTGAATCCTAGCCTTCTAGGCTAAGTTTCTTTATGCAGGGGGTCTAGGACGATTGCTGGGAGGCAGGGATTTTAAAAATCCTTTTGGAATGACCGAGCACAAAGTACTGATGAGAAACAGACTTTAGAAATTGTTATTGTTGTTAAGAAACAGACTTTAGAAATTGTTATTGTTGTTGAGAAACAGACTTTAGAAATTGTTATTGTTGTTATTTTTATAATTATAAATATTAAAACGACAGCTCTGGCCACATACATTTGATAAAAGATCTTTTTGTATAAACGTACGAGAACCGTTGATCTAACCTTTCGCTCCTGCCAAATAGTATTGGCTCCATGAATGACGATCTATAAATAACTTGAAAGGGGAGCTAATCTGTAAAGTTACCTCAAACAGCGGGTAGCCTAGTGCCTTATGAGATTTACTTTCTGTTAAGCGCAAGACAAATAAATTCATAAATATTGATTAACTTAGAAGGTTGGACACAATTTTTTCTTTCTCTGCGACTGAAGATTTCGAAATGACGCGGTATTAGGGATTTGTAAACCACTGATAGCTACAAGGCTAGTTAGGGTGTGTTTAGATCAGTGAATTTTAGACTTTAAAAAAACTAAAAGATTAGTGAAAGAAGGATAGGGTTTAACCTTACGATGTAGGCAGAACATAATTTAACGCGATTTTAGAATTTTGAAATACTTTTTTTTTTCATTTGGTAAGTGGAAATGTGAATTTAATTTAGAGTATTTATTGTTTAATTGTGTTCATGACTCCAGCTAATTAAAGTAATGAGCAATCTTTATCTGTGGTAGCTGCAACATTTTACTCTCAATGTTTAACTTTTAGAAGATTCCACAATTTAACTCTGTAAGTTAGTATAGTTTAACTTTAAAAGTGACCATAATTTAACTCTTTAAGTTATTATAGTTTAACTTTAAAAGTGACTATAATTTGACTTTTTAAGTTAGCATAGTTTAACTTTAAAAGTGACCATAATTTAAATCTTTAAGTTAGTATAGTTTAACTTTAAAAAGAGTTCATAATTTAAATCTTTAAGTTAGTATAGTTTAACTTTAAAAGAGTCCATAATTTAACTCTTTAAGTTAGTATAGTTCAACCTTAAAAAATGATCATAATTTAACTCTTTAAATTAGTATATCGTTATTTAACTCTTTAAGTTTATAAAATTTAAATGTAAAAGTGATCATACTTTAATTCTCAAATCAAATATAATTAAGATTCAATGGTGATCGTAATTTAACTACAAAATCTTGCCATAGTTTAACTGTGATAACGATTATAGTTTAAGACCGATAATGATTGCATTTAAGTTGTGATAGCTAGTGTAATCCTGTTTAAATTGTTGATTCCTCTAGAACATTCGTTACATTTAATCTTCAAGACTGACCAGACATGCCCGGGCAGGGGTATAACGCCCTGGGGTACAACCCCAAACCCTACCAGGGGACGATCGGCGGTGGTAACATGAGCTACAACCTTGTCACGAGCAACAAGGTCACCCCCTACAAGGGCAACATTAACCCAAATGATAGGACCTTCAAACCAAAGGAATACAAGCAGACCATGTAAGTAGGTAATTACCAATCTATAGGAAATACAGTGTTTGATGTAGTAGACTTCGACTTCACTGTATAATACTGTATGAACAAACAGACAATGTCAGTAGATAGACCTATCTATAGGAAATACAGTGTGTGATGTAGTAGACTTTGACGTCATTGTATATTATACTGTATGAACAAATAGACATGTAAGTAGATTGAATTAAATAAAACCTTTCTACATGGACTACCGTTTGTTATTTAGGGACATATGGCTCAACTGTACAATACAATGTGTGGTTATTTACTTATAAATTTGATAAATAACCAAATGAAAATAATAACGTGTTAAGCAAATTAGTAAATAATTATTAATTGATTAATGCATACTATTAAAATGATGCAATCGTACTGTGAAAGCAATAAGCAGACAATAACAATAGAATTTATTTAATCTCTATTTTGTAATACCTAGATAAGTAGCGGAGAGTATACGTTTGAAATATAACATGACCCAATCGACTTTTATAGATTATGTCTATATAAGTATAACATACAAATATAATATAATAAAAAACATACACATAAATGTGTATATTTTGTTACAAATTACATAAATTGGTTAAATTTAAGATTTATTTTAACTTTTAACATAAGTTAACAATAAAGTACGGTACTTAACTTGATAAGTAACACGGAAATAAAGAAACACTGTAAACAAGTTTTAGAGTGTTTACAGTTTGAGCTGCCAAAACGAAAGTACTTTTGGTGTTTTCACACAGAGGTCGGCCATTACGGGGGCGATCCCAACACTCTATCACCCCCCCCCCCCCCCCCAATAACACATGAGTGTTTTTAAAATTGAGTTTTATTTATAGAACTTTGTAATCTCAGTGCATGTTAAATAGACATACAGGCTTAAGGTAGTTGGGCGTTAGGGAATGGACTGTTGGAGTCTAGTACTGGATCAGAGTTTCTTCCAGGCATCTCAAATTTTTACCGCCCCCCCCCCCCCCCCGAACGAAATGAATTTTATATAATTTATATAGGAAATATATACTTTTAACAGTGTCCGCCCCCCCCCCCCCGAAGAAAGTCTACCGCCCCCCCCCCGAAAATTTCAAGTGCCCCCCCCCCCCCGGAGAAAAAAGTCTGGAAGAAACACTGTACTGGATTAGGGTAGTTGGGTGTTAGGGAATGGTCTATGAGAGTCTAGTACTCCAGACATTCGTTGATGATGAATGGTTATGGAACGCTTTGTACTCTTGTCATTACCGTCATCTTTGCTGGATTAGAGTAAGAATTGGGTTAGAAGTTTTTTATCTATAGATACACAAAATGGCTGTATAGAATTGTACAACAAAACCATAAGTAATTATCTCTAACTCTAATTTTAAGGGACGCGTGATTGAACAGTAATGTACCTCTGTGACATATTTGAGATTACCGTTAGCTGGTATTGATAATCGTAACACTAACCCTCCCTTCACCCGAACCATACATAAACCAGCCACAACCCTAACCGAATATTAACCCCAACGCCAGTTATTTTCACAATCCTGAACGTTTAGTATTTTGTTGTCACCGCCCCTTCACTCCCCCCCCCATACAACTAAAGGCATTCATCAATTCTGTCAACTGCCGTCTTTCTAAAAAACCAATATATATAACAGACATTGTCAAGTTGTCTGCGAAGGAAATGATTAACTAGATCAATATTTACTGATCAACTGAAATCAATACTCGTAGAATACAAGATCGATTTTTTATTTTCACCCAATTTATATTAATTTCTAGCAAAGCTTTAAATGGCTTTTCAGCAACACCATTATCATTCATGTGGACCCTTTGTACTCCACGACATTCCGGCTTAACTAGCTTTTATTCAATAAAAATTGTTTTAAAAACTTAGTGTACACGGTTACAACATTTTGGTACATTCCTGGTTGAAATTTCTTTGCTTTAGCTTTCCATTGAATTCATTTTATATTTTACTGACGGATAAACTGACAATATAGCCCGTCTTTCACACTAATATTGCAATTAACAAATTGACCGAATCATAATTTTAAGTTTTTTTTTAAATGTATGCCTTCCCAGAGATACAAAATTCAAAAGGAAAGTGCCGCCTCCACCAAAACAACCGAAACAAAAACCACCCAAAGCTGCTGCTTCCAGAAGAGGTAAGTTCACGCTAAACAGCCAACATACCCAACAGCCAACATACCCAACAGCCAACATACCCAACAGCCAAACAGCAAAACAGCCAACATACCCAACAACCAACATACCCAACAGCCAACATACCCAACAGCCAACATACCCAACAGCCAAACAGCAAAACAGCCAACATACCCAACAACCAAACAGCAAAACAACCAACATACCCAACAACCAACATACCCAACAGCCAACATACCCAACAACCAAACAGCAAAACAGCCAACATACCCAACAGCCAACATACCCAACAGCCAACATACCCAACAGCCAAACAGCAAAACAGCCAACATACCCAACAGCCAAACAGCAAAACAGCCAACATACCCAACAACCAAACAGCAAAACAGCCAACATACCCAACAGCCAACATACCCAACAGCCAACATACCCAACAGCCAAACAGCAAAACAGCCAACATACCCAACAGCCAAACAGCAAAACAGCCAACATACCCAACAGCCAACATACCCAACAGCCAACATACCCAACAGCCAAACAGCAAAACAGCCAACATACCCAACAGCCAAACAGCAAAACAGCCAACATACCCAACAACCAACATACCCAACAGCCAACATACCCAACAGCCAAACAGCAAAACAGCCAACATACCCAACAACCAACATACCCAACAGCCAACATACCCAACAACCAACATACCCAACAACCAACATACCCAACAGCCAACATACCCAACAACCAACATACCCAACAGCCAACATACCCAACAGCCAAACAGCAAAACAGCCAACATACCCAACAACCAAACAGCAAAACAACCAACATACCCAACAACCAACATACCCAACAACCAACATACCCAACAGCCAAACAGCAAAACAGCCAACATACAAAACAGCCAACATACCCAACAACCAAACAGCAAAACAGCCAACATACCCAACAACCAAACAGCAAATCAGCCAACATACCCAACAGCCAACATACCCAACAACCAAACAGCAAAACAGCCAACATACCCAACAGCCAAACAGCAAATCAGCCAACATACCCAACAGCCAACATACCCAACAACCAAACAGCAAAACAGCCAACATACCCAACAGCCAACATACCCAACAACCAAACAGCAAAACAGCCAACATACCCAACAGCCAACATACCCAACAACCAAACAGCAAAACAGCCAACATACCCAACAGCCAAACAGCAAAACAGCCAACATACAAAACAGCCAACATACCCAACAACCAAACAGCAAAACAGCCAACATACCCAACAGCCAAACAGCAAAACAGCCAACATACCCAACAACCAACATACCCAACAGCCAACATACTCAACAGCAAACAGCAAAACAGCCAACATACCCAACAGCCAACTTACTCCACAGCAAACAGCAAAACAGCCAACATACCCAACAGCAAACAGCAAAACAGCCAACATACCCAACAGCAAACACATCCAACTGCATGTGTACATGTTATGAAAATCTACCCAACATATGCAACACATTTTACAAAATTTAATTAATAATAATTTTCATTAATATATTTTGTTAATTTTCTTCAATGAGGAATAGAAGGTGAGGGTGGGTGGGTTGGGTGGGTTGAGGGGGAGGGGGTGTGGGTTGGGGAGAGGGGGGAGGGGGTGTTACTCACCTGCTAAGACACTCTAATGTTGTGTATACATCCCCCAACCCCAGGTCGTCGTTATTACATCTAACTATAACTCCTCACTACATTACCTAACCGTAACATATCCCTCCATCACCTTACCCTTACATCACTACATACCTTACCCTAACCTGATCCGCATCACCTAACCTTATCTTATCACTACAGCACCTAACCCTAATCTGAAAACGGCAAAGGTCAAAGGTTACGAACCCAACATCAAATGGACACCAGGACAACAGCAGATCAAACCCTACGAACCCAAACCCTACAAGGGTTCGATTCCCTCTCAGCCCACGTAAGTCATTCACTGTCATATAATTTATTACCTTTACAATTTGTTTTGTTATATTTTCTTTTATATTTATTAAATCAATTTCACATGGAATTATTTAAAAATCAATATCCAACCGATGGTAAATTATATTTTAAAAATATGAACTTTATTTTATGGGGATTGGAATTGTATAAAGAAGGGCTACGATAAGTTATTTAACAAGCAATTAAACCCGACTTAAACAGTGAAATATTTTTGTATAAAAACTTTAAAACTGTTTCAGGCCTGTGAAAAACTATGAACTACCTGAAAATTACTACGGCTTTCCTAAAGGAAAAAGAAGGGTAATTATAGTCAACCGTACACTTACTGATTATCAGTTTAGAATTTGATTTTTGGTAGGCTAAGGGTACATCCATAAATGACGTCACGGGTTTTTGACGATTTTTACCTCCCCCCTCCCCTCCGTCACACGTCGTCACAAAAAGCCAGACCCCCTAAAATGACGTCACACCCCAACCTACAACCCCCCCCCCCCCCTCAAAATCGCAGATACATTTTTTTTAAACATCGATATTTTTTTTTTAATCTTGAGTGAACTCTGTCAAAATAGAGTGTTTTAATCAATTCCTATTACAAATGTATTAAAACAGTTGTCTAAAACGCGAAATAACGTCTAAAATTCGTTTTCTAACATTGCTTTTTATTATGCAAAAGTGTGACGTTGCACCATCTGAACCCCCCCCCCCCCCCCCTAACGCCTCATCACACACCGTCACAAAATTACGGACCCACCCTCCCCCCTACGAGTGTGACGCCATTTATGGACGACCCCTAAGGACAAATAGATTGATCGGTAGAGAAGGGTAGTATAGGCTGTCATACCACTACTAAAATGTAGGGGGAAATCTTGATTTTAATATTTCATTTATTATGCGTTATAACTGCATTATTGATTTTTTTTTGGATTAAAAAAAATCATATAATTTAGATACGAATTTGTAGATCGTGTTCAGTAATTATTCTTGACACGATTTCAGCCGACGCCCCCTCGTCAGCCGACGCCCGTGAAGGAGCAGAAAATAAAACGTAACAAAGTTCAACCACTGGAACCGCCCCCTCCTCGTCAGGTGACGCCCCCGAAACCAGTACAGCGGCAGGTGACGCCCCCGAAACCAGTACAGCGGCAGGTGACGCCCCCGAAACCAGAGCCCCGCCACAAAACGCCCCCCGCCAAACAAGCGCCCCAGACGATGAAGCCCACGGTGCGAGACCCTCTTATCGAAACATCCGCGCCCGTCATGGCGCCCGTAGAGCCGCCCAAGAAAAAAGCACCCAAACCACCAGTACAGACACAACCCCCAGTGGCGTACGCACCCCCTCCACCCGACCCCCTCCCCCCAGCACGACGAAACAACTCCCCCTTCTACAACTACAAGCCGGAGCCCATCTTCCCCCCTCTGGTTCCTGTGACCGCCGACGACTACAAATACACCTACGACGAAACGAATTCCTACTACGGCGGGCCGTTTAAAAAGCAGACCACCCAACCCCTGATCCCCGCCACCTACCCCGTGCCCAGGTACGATCTCCAACAGTACCAGTCCATCCCTCCCCCAAAAATATGGACTCTTCCAGAAGACCCGTATCTGTTTAAAGCCTCAGTAAGTTTTTCTTTTCTTTTATTAGCAGTTGAATGTAGAATTATTTTTTTCAATACTTAATTAAGATATTTTTCTTTATAATCTTTGCGATATACTGATACATGTTTAGCAAGGCTAAACTAATTCATGTTTAATGTGTATCATCTGTATAAATATAAGATGTACAATAAAAGTCATCATAATAATAATAATGATGATAATAATAATAATAATAATAATAATAATAATAATAATAATAATAATAATAATAATAATAATAATAATGACAATAATGACCAACAGCACCACCACCACCACCATCATCATCATCATCTTCAAATTTTATCTACAACATCATCATCTCATTTAGTCAACACACACTGACAGCAAAAAACCATTAAGTCGACATCCCCTACAGCAGCTTAACACCCAACTACAGCAACACCATTTCTTCCTTTCACTCTACTGGCACACGTCTTTTCAACATTACCCCCCCACACACACACACACACCCACACATCCCCACCCACACACACCCACCCACACCCCCCCCACACACACACACAGATAACCTTCAACACAATGTTGTTCTTACACAACATACAACACAATGCTACTATAAACACTCACAAGACAGGGTGGCAGAGCATTGCTGGAACACCTCGACCGCCTTCCCCGACGAAATAGAAAAAAAAATTAAATTTATTCAGAAAATGTATACTTCCGCATCCCCGGAAGTTTCAAGTGCACTTAGGAGTTAAACGCTTGAAAGAAACCCTGCACATTCCTACACCAACCCCCCCTCACCCATCCAGAAATACACCTCACAATATGAATTATGGTAATCCCCTCATGTTTATTACATTCAATTCTGACGTCATTATGTTTTTACCTGTCCACAGGGTGTACCTGCCTACAGTGCTGTTGGATCGATACTCCGTAGCTCAGACGTCTACAGCTTTTATTATTGATAGGAGAAGCAGTATCGATACTCATTAGTACAGACATCTACAGCTTTTATTATTGATAGGAGCAACAGTATCGATACTCCGTAGCTCAGACATTTACATCTTTTATTATTGATCGGAGAAGCAGTATCGATACTCCGTAGCTCAGACATCTACAGCTTTTGTTTTTGATAGGAGCAGCAGTATCGGTACTTCTTACAACATACATCTACAGCTTTTATTTTGATATGAGCAAAAGTATCGATACTTCTTAGGACAGACGTCTACAGCTTTTATTATAAGATAGGAGCAGCAGTATAGATACTCAGCAGAACAGACAACATTTATTATTGAATTGGGCCAAGGTATCGATACTTCGTTTCTCAGGCCATTGACGTTTTTGTAATTGATTGTGCCGTGGTATTAATACCCAGTAGATCTGTTATTATTGATTGATCGATTATGGATTATCCGTCCTACGAGAGTTCGATAAGGTTTTGTGATTTGTTTTCTAGAAGCTCAAGGATAAAGGTTTAAGAGTTTGGGATAAAGATTTAAGAGTTTGGGATAAAGGTTTAAGAGTTTTGGTTAAAGGTTTAAGAGTTTGGGATAAAGGTTTAAGAGTTTGTGATAAATATTTAAGACTTTGCGATAAAGATTTAAGAGTTTGGGATAAAGGCTTAAGGGTTTGGGATAAAGATTTAAGAGTTTGGGATAAAGGTTTAAGAGTTTGGGATAAAGATTTAAGAGTTTGGGATAAAAGCTTAAGATGTCTAACGACTATTACATTTTTTTTTTCTATTTGTAAAATTGCACTGAAAATAATTTCTTTAAAATAATCAATGAGTCATTTCGCAAACCGATCATTGAATTTTTGAACTTAAAGAAACCATTATTTTTCAGTAATAAAAAACTCAAATCTCTAATTGAAAATAAACCGGGAGTGATCTCCCCTAAACTTTCTCGAATATTCTTATATAAAATAACAGGGGATGGGAACTCGGGCTATAGACATCATTTTTAATCAAATTTAAAAACACTTAAAGTTATAAAAATTGAATAAAATCTCGTAGACAAATTAATTGCACACCAAGTGAACGCCAAATAAAAAAAAGCGCATAATAGTGCGCAATATTATTAGTACTTTTAAAATTTACAGTAGTTTTTTGAGAAATCGGAAGTAGCGTAAAGTACTACTTCCAGTCAACAGAAATTACTCAAAATTTAACAGAAGGTAGAGAATTAGATCTTTTACGTACATGTGAAATTTCATTTATCTATCTGAAATAGTACTCAAGTTATAGGCTTTTGAAAAATTCAAAGTAGGAAAAGTACCACTTCCGGTTATCGGAAATCGCTCAAAAGTTGATACGGATCTACGATTTTGATAAAATACTTATATATGAAATTTCATCCACCTAGCTGTAACGGTACTCAAGTTATCGTGTTTACACACGGACAGACACACAGACACACACACACAGACATACGGACAAGATTGCAAAATTATGTTTTTCCGTATCAGTGAGGTGTAAAACGTCGAGATTTGTAAAAATCTCGATTGTTTTTTTTTTTGCACGATTACAATACTTTCTCTATACTTCGTATATACGAGAAAGTAAAAACAAAGACAGTATTACATATATTTCAACGAGTTGATGGACGTATAAAAATGTATATTATATTTCTTAAATGGAAAACATGACATTTGGCAAATGACAACCGTTAATTATGGTTTGATGTCATTTTGTTAAACCGAAATATCGTCCTTAAGTCATGTTAATTATATGTTTGTTTTTTCATTATTACTTGGTGCATTAGTTAATTAAAGTTTTGATACTTTGCCATTTTCACTATATAACTGATTGAAGACAAAATAAAAGTGACTTGATTTTAATTTGTTGTATTCGTTGCTAAAGTGGCTATGTAAAGTAAAGTTCCCTTTCAAACCTCACGGTTTTTAGGGCAAGTTTCGGTGATCTCGGCATATGAATGGAAAATGTGGTCAGCACTATACCCAGCCGCCTTTACTTTCCCTTACGGAAATTAGGTACCCATCAGAGACTTGAACCCGGATTTGAACTCGAACTTACGGGTTAGCGGTCCAGCCAGTGGCGGAACTAGAAAAAAGGGCCACCCCGCAAAAAATATTTTAGCCCCACCCCCCCCCCCATATATATATATATATATATATATATATATATATATATATATATATATATATATATATATATATATATATATATATATATATATATATATATATATATATATATATATATATATATATATATATATATATATATATATATATATATATATATATATATATATATATATATACATACATATATATATATATATATATATATATATATATACATACATATATATATATATATATATATATATATATATATATATATATATATATATATATATATATATATATATATATATATATATGATACGCATTGCTGGCCTGTTCGGGTTTTGAAAAAAAAATTCATTGAACACAAATTACAACAACATGTACTGTGTGTAAGTGCATTAGACGGTTTTAAAAATATTTTTTTTTTCTGCCATAATACCTCTTAACCTTTAGTCCGTCAAAAGAATATAAAACATGAAACTTTGTTTAAGTTATGGTGTCTCGTGTTATGTTTATTTTGATGATTTTTGGTATTTAAATTATTAATTTTAAATACATTTCCTTTTTATACAAAGACATTCTTTAGTAAGTACTTTATTAAAAAAATAATAATTAAGAGAAGAAATTGCTTTTTAATTTGTTTAGTACCAATCTTTTAAAAAGAGGTTATGAGCACCCATATTGGACTATTTAAAAAAAGGAAATAAGTCATGGTAGTGGATTGAACGTTTGCTTATCTTTGATAAGTTAGATTGTAGGAGAAAGAGGACTCGGCTTTCAGAGTGGTTTGAAAACAAAGGGAAAAATAATATACAAGAGCGTGGGGTGGCGTCTATAGAATAAAGATAATCCAACCGCAGCTACGGTAATCTTTTTTACAAAACAACCATCAAGTCAAAAATGCAAGATAATTTTTAAAAATTTTAACTATGAAAAAAATTATTATGGTCGGCTGTGGGCCCCTAAATAGCGTGTCCCCCCCCCCCCCAGCCTTGCGGGGTCTGGCGGCACTGTAGTTCCGCCCCTGAGTCCAGCTCACAGCCGCTAGACCACTCCGATTTTTAAATTTGTAATTTGGGGGAAAGTCGTGTGGTGTAGTGTTTGTGTGTGTGTGTGTGTGTGTGTGTGTGTGTGTGTGTGTGTGTAAGTGTGTGTGTTTAAGTGTGTGTGTGCGTGTGTGTGTGTGTAACTAAACCGCGAATGTCTTGGAAGTTTAACTCACTGTGTGATCAGCCTTTGGTGCAGCAAGGAGAGGATCATTTTTAATGAACTCAAATATTGTATTGATATCTGGCGATATACTGAGACATGGGAAGTAGAATTTATATGATTTTAAAACGTCAGTTTGTCCAGTGACGTGGAGGTCAACATCATCTACTGTAGCCTTTACATTGCCCAATAGGGTTGATATATATATATATATATATATATATATATATATATATATATATATATATATATATATATATATATATATATATATATATATATGCATATATATATATATATAATATAATATATATATATATCGTATTGGACAATACCTTTCATATCAAGTGCATTAAAGTTTCCTGGGTAAATAACGTCCCTGGGAACAAATCCAATGCAGGGACGGATTAATTTCTTTAATTAAAAAGTACTCGGCACTTTGTCTAATTACATAATTGGCTATCATACTGTATCAAACAACAATATATACATTCTTAATTGCAAAACAATAAAATAAGTTTTTACATTTTTTTATTAGTAGTTTATTTTTAGAAGCAGGTTATTTTTAGCGACAGTTTATTTTTAGACTACACACGTGGTCGTTGTTTCCGCCGGATACAGATTGTTGTTGACGTCACTAAGGGCCGGAGACGATCTTGATGTTCTTGGGGTGCTGGTCCCAGCAGACGTCCTGGTAGTCGCAGGCTTTGTACTCAACGACCTTGGTGGCCGGGTTCAACCAGAGGTCAAGGTTGTGCACGTGACCGTTGGCCTGGGAGGTGGTGGCCGAGACGACATTGCCGCTGATCATGGCGTCGTAGTCTGACTTGAGGAGGGTGAACTCGTGGTAGTGGTTGCCGCTCACTAGGGTCGGGTACAGCTGGGGGTGGGGGGGGGGGTGGGAGAGGGTTAAAGCTTTTTAAAGCAATGACAATTATCACATCAACATGTGCTAATGTTAACATCACAATGTGACATCAACAAGTTCAACGGTCAACATCACAATATTGCATCAACAAATCCACCAGTTAACATCATAATATAACATCAACAAATTCAACTGTTAACATCATAATATGACAACAACAAATTCAGTTGTCAACATCACAATGTGACTTTGACACGTACAACCGATACTATACCACTACTATTGTGTTTGTATCTAATTTATGTAAAACTCTCACAGCACTATTGTTACTGAAGTGAAGATATATTTTGTATGCATTTCAATGATACACAATAGTATTCTACTCTAGAAAGTAAATAGAGCCTTATTTTTTAAAATGTGAACGGAGAATTCCGATAATGCCGTCATTTAAGACGTTTAGAGTTAGTTCCCCTAGGAGAGATAACAACTGTAATCTCGAAACGTCCAGACTTCTATACACAAGTCTTACCTCCATCTGGTAAGCCGAGCTACCCCCTGTCGTTGTTTTCATCTGCGCCATCCTGTTTTTGATGACTTCAATTTCTTTCCAAGCAACGCTGCCCTCGGCATGAACTGGCGGAATCGGGTACCGGAAACGGATGCTCCCAATGCCTGGCAAGTTCACAAGTTTAAAGATTTGACCAGTTAAACAAAATGTAAAAAAAAAAAAAACGCGTAAAGAATAAAAAAAGAAATTGAAATTGATTCGTAGTAAAAAAAAATTACAAGCTATCATTAAAAACTAGAACGTAGAGTTAGGATGGCTAAAGATGGCTACCTCTGATTGGAAGAGAGAGGATGGGGATGCCGGAAGCTGAGACGTTTCTGATGTTGCCCTGTTTGTCCAGGACACCAACCCCACCCCCGGCAGTGTCGGCTGGGTCACTCTGTGGATAAAATGTGGACAGTCCGCAGATTA